TGTAAAAAAAACAAGTAAATACATAACAAAATACACAAAATCATAATAAAGAAACATTGTAAACAACATAGTGACACAGAAATAAATAGTAAAATAGTAAATAAATAAATGGCACTGGTAGACTCCAGTAACTGACTCAAATTATGAGCCGAAAGAATCAGTTTCTACTGGTAAACTCCAGTAAGTGACTCAAATTATTATGAGCCGAAAATGTTTCCGATTTTTTTCCACCTGTAAAAAAAGCTAGCCTACCTGCCCGATTATTTATTCTTTTTTTATCAAATTGACTATTTAATTGAAACCCTATTTTTAATTAGGAAACTGAATGTTTCAATTGACGCTTAAATTCGTAATCGCTGGATAAATGGAGCCCAGGTTCAAAAGACCTACACTAGGGACGCATCCGACACCTGAGCTCAAGAAAACTGCAATATAAATACAAAAAAAAAACAAATAAAAGACAAATACAAGAAAAAGAACACAAATTACATAAATAAATACACTGGAACCTCAATCGAGTGTACTTTTTTTGAAAGTGGTGTTTTCTGATCCAAAAGCAAAACAATTAAGATCGTATGAAAACTTTACTGTAACAATTTTATTTTTTTATTAATAATTATTCACTTCTCTATAAAATTAATTTAAAATTGGATAATAAAATAAAATTTATTACTTTCAGATAACTATCAAAGTAATAAAAAAGCCGAAATTTGTTTTAAATTAAAATATTGTGTTTTTTAAACTTGTCCCTTTTTTGTAAATAAACAAATTATGTAAGTAAAAATTATAAAATTCAAAAATTTAATTGCATTTGCATTAAGAGAACCATCCTTTTCTGCTAAAAAAATTTTTTTTAAATTGAAACGTCACACGATCGAGATTCCAATGTATAAAAATAAAGACAAAACATGAACAAAGCAAGAAAAAAAACACTGACAAAAATATTAATTTATGTATAGAAAAAATTTAGTAACATTTAGTTTACTGTTTTGGAAGTTAGTGATAAAAAATACTACAAAATTAATATTTTTTGTCAGTGGCGTCACTATGTTGTTAAATGCCTTTCCTGTTTTAACAAAATTTTTAATTTTAATTTAATTTAATTTAATGTAATTATAACTTTTATATATTTTCTACATTTTATGTTAATATTACAAGTTTCAAATCCTTTAATTAAAAATTTTAATTCACACTCTAAAAAAGATGAGAAAATAACTGCAAAGTTCAAACTTAAAAGCGATGAATAGAAAAATTATTTTTAATTCTCAAAAATAATTTACTCTAATAATAGATAACTTTAATTTAAGTTTGAAATCCAAAAAATACAGAATTTTAATACACTTTCTGAAAAGAAGAGAAAATTATTGCAAAGTTTATAAACTTAAAAGCAATAGATAAAAATTCAACTTTCAAAAATAATTCACTTTAATACTAATTTAAATTTTATCCATATTTTTAAAAGAACGAACAAAATTTACAAAGATTTAAATTAATATTAATTGAATATTAAAAAATTAAAAAGCGATAAATACATTTTTTTAATTTATTAAATACTAAATTAAATTAAAATTAATTAAATATTAAAAAAGTTAATTGAAAAGTTGATTTTCAATTTATTAAATATTAAATTAAAATTTAATTCAAATTAATTAAATATTAGAAGAAATAAATAAAAAGTTGATTTTCAATTTATTAAATATTAAATTCAAATTAATTAATTAAATATTAAAAGCGACAAATAAAAAATTGATTTTCAATTTTAAAAAATAATTTACTTTGATGATTTTAAATAAAGAAAATTAATTAAAAAGTCAAACAGGGAAGGCTAAAAATAATAATATTGAGTCGACTAATTGATCGACTCAATCTTGTGGCATCACAGTTTGTGATAAACCACGTGATTCCCTCGGTGGATGATGAGCCCACGTTGTGGCGATGGGATTGTGCGTCATCGCCCTTTCTGGATCACCCTTGAAGATCCCTGTTTTTTGAACGCACTTCTGCGCCAGGTCAAGGGCTACACGGAACCGTGAAATTAAAATTTGAAAAAAAAGTTTAAAAAATAGACTAAATAAGCTAATAAAAAAAGTTGAAAAAATAAACTACGTAAACTACAAAAAAAAAATGAAAAAAATATACGGCAGTGTGCTGGGATCTCTTTTCTTCTCCACATCTTTGATTTGTCCTTATTTATAATGTCAAATTGACATACTGAAAATAAAAAAAACTAATTAGAAAAACTAGAGAAATAAAAAATAAATTGTAAGTTTTTCATAGGCTTTAAAAAAATGAATATTTTAATTATTAATTATTCGTGAAAGAAAAAATAACCTAAGACTGGCACATTTTATACAAATACTTGTAACAAATTTCGATAAATAAAAACGTTTAGGTAATATTTTTGCCAAAAAACAAAAATAATTTATATTTTTTTCCACGGACCACACAAAACTTTAATGATTTTTTGATTATTTTCACAATTCATTGCGCAAAAATGGAAAATAATTAAAGATTACACCGATTACAAACAACAATTGAAAAAATGAAAGACAAACTTTGACAACAAACCTTTCTTCTATTTTCGAGGACATTTGTAATAATAAAAAAAATTAAGGAAAGCCAACCAAGTATTATTAATTTGTTTTGACTTATTTTTTATAATTTGTCGATAATTAAAAACTCAAAAACTGATATTTTTTGCGACTATTTCTTTGTTGACATATTTGGATGATGTCAAAATATTGAAGTAAATCTCTCGACGGCAAAGTTTTATTCGAATAACCTACTTATTTTTGCCACTGCATAAAAACTTTCATCATTTATCGATTATTTTGACTTTATTTTAATTAAAAAACTAATATTAACGTTTTGATCGAACACTACAATTGAAATAACAAAAGAAAAATATTGACAACAAGGTTTTCGCCCACTTTCAACGACGCCATTTGTGGCCATTTGCAATAATTGGGAAGACTGCCAACCTAAGATAATGAAAATAACTCAGACTATTTTACCGACAGAAAAAATTTACATTACCGATTATTGCATATTGGACATTTCACTATTTTTTTCCTCAATAACCATTATGGACATATTTTATAACAATATTGTTATTTTATTAACGATTAAGCAATCGTATTACGATTTTTTGGAAATCTGAAACTTTTTACCTGTTTTTCTTTGTTGAAACATTTTGACGTCAAAATGTTGAGGTTATTCTCTCAGCGTCAAAGTTTTACCTAAATAAACTATTTTTCTTTGCTACTGCCAGAAAACTTTTATAATTTTTCGAATATTTATACCCTATTTTACTTAACAAACCAATAATTACATGTGGATTAAACAATATAATTGAAATAATAAAAGATTAACTTTGACAATGAGTTTTTCTTCTACCTCAAACGACGCCATTTGCAATATGTAGGAATTGTCAGGAATGCCAACCCAAGATAAACGAATAATGAGCTATTACTATTTTACCAACATAGGAAAAAATGGAATTTTTATACAATAGAGATTTTACTATATTTTTTCTTTTTTCACCTTTTACTGATTACAAACAACTAAATATCAATTAAGTTGTTTTAAAAAATATGTTTTTATAAATGCAAAATTATTTACCTGTTCTTTTTTATTGAAACAATGTGGCGTCAAAATATTGAGGTTATTCTCAAGGCGTCAAAGTTTTATCTAAATAAACTACTTTTCTTTGCTACTGCCAAAAAACTTTTATAATATTTCATATAGGTCTAAACCTTAATAAATATAAGGTCTAAACCTTAATTTACTTAAGGAAACAATAATTACGTTTGGATTAACTAAAATAATCGAAATAATAAAAGATTAACTTTGACAATCAGTTTTTCTTCTACCTCAGACGACGCCATTTGCAATATGTAGGAATTGGCAGGAATGCCAACCCAAGATTAACGAATAATGAACTTCTACTATTTTACCAACATAAGAAAAATAATTTACCTTTAATACAACAAAGATTTTACTATATTTTAATTTTTTGTAATTATTTTTTTAACAAAACAAATATATTTTTTATTAATTAATTAAATTTTTAATTTATAATTTATTTTTTTAACAAAAAAAATATATTTTTTATTAATGAAATAAATTTTTAACTCATAATTTATTTTATTAATAAAAAATATATTTCTCGCAATTTCCTATTTAAAAATTTATTTTACAAATAAAAAATATTTTTTTTTCTTTTGTAAATTGTAAATTAATAATTTTTTTTACATTCTAAAATACTTATTTATATTTATGAAATTTTTTTTTATTTACCCAAGAATAGAATTGCATACAATAGAAATGGAGGAAAAATAAAAAATGTACTTGCGTGAATGCCAATAAGTAAACAGACCGCGCAATGGAATCGAAATCGAGTCATAAATTGCACATGTAGCCGTGCGAAATCTGAGAAGGCAGAGATACATTGGTTACATGAATATTTCTTTTTCATTCTTCCTCTCCATGTTCCAATCACCGACATGTACGTGCATGTCACACTTGAACGTAATATATATACAATTTTTTTATTTACCTGCAATGCGACGTCATTTTTTTATGACAAATTTTGCGAAAAGGAAAAAAATGTTTTTGAATTAAAAACGAAATTAAAAAAAAAATTTCATTATTGTAAATAAAAAATATATTTACAGTAATAATATTAATAATTTACCAATAGTGAGATTAAAAAGATGAAATATTAATTTAATTGAAATTGTATAATTTATTTATTTTAATTTTGTTTAATTATTTATAATTTATATTGCCTGATATTGGTTTTCTACGATTTGAAATTGCCGCTAAAATTGAAAAATTCAAAAAGGCGGAAATTATCGAAAGTTGGTAAACTATATTTTCTGCCTTACCGATATGAGTTAAATCGCAGTCGGTAAATAGAGAGAAAAAAGAAACTTTTACTATTTGTCGCTAGTGGCTCTAGTAAAGCCGGCGCATTCTCGCTGACGGAAGAACATATGTTGTGTCAGAGACGCATGCGTAGTTATCGTTTCCGCGACGTACCGAGCCATCTTTCCAGTCAAACCGCAGTGATTGTTTTTCAATTTTAGTCATATTTAAAGGAACTTTTATTAATGTCAGAGCCACAGTCCGCTCTTTTACTACGTAAACAATTAGCAGGTATTATTGTGTATTGAATTTTTGTGTTCAGTGTTTAATTATCATAATATGTGAATGTCAAATTGAAAAGCAAACTTCTCAAATTTTTAACTGAAAAACGAACCGACCTTCCTTGCCGCTGTCGCTTGTGACTCTCGATTTTCTTTGTATTACATGAGAAGAATTTTTTTCATCTCAATTTTCTAATACGGAAAATCACAAATTTATTTTTAATAAAAAAAAAATGCAATTGAATTTTATTCTCAGCTTTGAAACGGGGCGTGAAAATCAATACGAAGCGACTTGTGGTGTTCGGGTTTGTCCCCCTTGAATAACGTTAACCTAGCATTTCATGTTTTCGCTTTTTGTACACGCGTGGAGCCTCTTGATGCTACTTGTGCGCCGTCGTCGTCAATGCCGACCCTGGATTTTACCCGAAAATAATTGTCGAGACGTTTTATTTATAGAACATTTTGCGCATTACAAAATTCTTTCAAGATCGGATTCAATTTTTTGACGGTCGGGAGGTAAAAAAAAAAGAGGCGATACGAAAGCAAGCATCGGCGGCAGCGAAGGTCGATTGCCTTCAAACGACTCTCTTCGTTTGCACATGGCGAGTTTTAAAACCTAACTTTCGAGGGTTGATTGACCTCCACAACCTTGGTTGAATACAATGACCCAAAAAAACCGAGGTCCTAAACCGTTATACCAATGTCATTTTGACAGTGTCTGTCATTGAGTTTTGTATTCATTACTTCTATGATATCACATGCGGAATAATAACACACATAACCTATAAAATTGTATAACTCTCGGATGCGTTACAATACTTTCTCCACAATTCATAGCTTTCGATTTCTTGCTTTTCACCGCATCTCACATCACGTAACGCTACGCTTCTTCCTTTTAGAGTTTTTACTCGGATTTTTTTGTCAAATTTACTCTCTTAAATTATATTTACAACATTGAAACTTTAGGCCCTTTTTTCTCAACAATTATTTTCATTTTTAATTTTCGTTTCTTTTACACCCGTTTTATTTTCTTTTGTCTACATTATAATCTAGAATTCTCTCAATTTCGCAATATTGACCTTGGACTTTGTATTTTGCGGAAATATACATTGAGCAATTATCCCTTTTATTGAAATTCTCAAGTTTTTTTTGTTATTAAGAAGTTTGTTTTCAATTCGAATTTTATATCATATTGAATTTAATTCAAATTTTGTTATACAAATAAAAGATTTTTAATTTCATTGTCTATTTTTCTAATTTGAATTTTCATTTTCAGAATTGAATAAAAACCCAGTCGAAGGGTTTTCAGCAGGTTTAATAGACGATAATGATATTTATCGATGGGAGGTGCTTATTATTGGACCTCCGGATACACTGTAGTGAGTATAAAAGAAATTATATTTCGAATTTAATTTAAAATTGTTTAATTAACAAGATTGTTTTTTTTTCTATTTCAGTGAGGGCGGCTTTTTCAAAGCACATTTACAATTTCCGAAGGAATACCCTTTAAGGCCTCCTCGCATGAAGTTTATCACAGAAATATGGCATCCGAACAGTGAGATTTGTTTTTAATTATTTATTCTAAAAATATCAATGCAATTTTTTTGAAATCGTAAATTACTTGCGTCATTAAACTGATAAGAAATTGAAAATTAATATTCGAGAAAATATGCATTTATTTTTATACGATTTAATAGTATAAAATGTTTTCGATATTAAATTTTATGTTTATTGACGAATATTAATATTAAAAAAAAATTTCTATTAATTTTTTTATTTGTTATTTATATATTTCTTTTTTTCATTCTTTTTTCTCTTTTTCTTTATTATTTATTACTTTTGGTTTTTTAAAAATATTTTTTCTCTTTTTTCTTTATTATTTAATTACATTTTTTTTAAAATATTTTTTCTATTTATTTCTTTTATTTCCTATTTATTTATTTCTTTTTTTTCAATATTTTTTCTCTTGTTCTTTATTATTTATTACATTTTCTTTTTTTGAAAATATTTTTTTTTAATTAACGTTTATTTATAAGTTACTATTTATAATTTTCTTTCCTTGAATAATTTTTGTATTTGCTTTTTTATTGTTGATTTTTATTTATGTTTTATTATTTACTATTTAATTTCTGTTTTTCTAAAATATTTTTCCTTTTTTCAGTCGAAAAAAATGGTGATGTATGCATATCCATTTTGCATGAGCCTGGTGATGACAAATGGGGATACGAGAAGGCTTCAGAACGGTGGTTACCGGTGCATACAGTGGAAACCATTCTCATAAGCGTCATCAGTATGCTCGCTGATCCAAATGACGAAAGTCCAGCTAATGTAGATGCTGCTGTGAGTCTTTTTCTCTCTCAATTTCACACATCCATTGCCCATTGTTATCGCGTAAAAATATTGTTAGAACGCAACACAAATGGTCTTTGCTCTTCATTTTGAAAAAAAATAATAATTTGGATCAAATACGTTTCAATTATTTTCACAATAATAATTAATTTTTTGTCAGATCTCTAAAAAATAATGAATTTTCTTCTCTTTCTCTTTATTTTCTTTTTTTTAATTTTCTTGTAAATAATCTTACACTGAAGAGAAAATTTATTTATTTTAAATAACCGATTACTTTTCTATTATCAGATAAATATTTTCTTGACTTAAATAATTTTCAAAAACAAGATGTTTTTTTTGATTGGCCAAACAAACGAAAACGTCTTATTTCCATAAAAGTTTATCAGAATATTAATTGACAAACAACATTTAATCCTATTTTAATTAAGAATTGATTTTTCAAATAAATTCCCTAATTTATTAATAAATTATTTTTAAATTAATAAATTAGTTTTTAAATTAATAATTTAGTTTTTAAATTAATAAATTAGTTTTTAAATTAATTACTAATAATTATCAACGATAGTTCTAAACTTTCTATGGTCCAAAACAAGTAAAAAAATAAAAAAAATGAATAAAAATATGAATAAAATTGAATTAATTATTACTGTGAAAATAATAGTTGTCGACGATGATTAATTTTTGTTTGCCTTTTGAAATTGTAGAAAGAATGGCGAGAAACTTATGCGGAGTTCAAGCGGAAGGTGGCAAGGTGTGTCAGAAAAAGCCAAGAAGAGTGTGCGTAGGGGGAATGATTTTTATTAAAACGGAAAGACTTATTTAATTCTGGTGAGTTTTTTTTGTCAACACCGAAAATTTTTATTTTTTAATATCGCTATTTTTATTTTTTTCAATCGCTACGATTGCATTTAAAAAAGAATTTTAACTTTAAATAGAATTATTTTGAATTTATTTTAAAAATTGTCTTTTAAAATTTATTTCAAAGAAATTTTCAAAATTTTTAAAGAATATTTCGAATATTTTGAAAGAAATTTTGAAAAATATATTTTAAAAATATTTTTAATTACTTTTCCTTAAAATATTGAACAATTTTATCAATTTAGTCTTTATTTTTAGTAATTTTGTCTTACATTTGGCGATTTTCATGGATGTAGGGAAGCCGTAAGCGAAAAGAAATAATTATTCGTGGACAACATTGTCACATTTGGCTCTCGACCCATTCTTTCGCAGAGCTGAAGGGAGAAAGTCGATCTCTTGCAAATTTTGTCAAGCGTTCAATGGATCTCCGCCACTTTTTTTTAAACATACCATCATTCAACGCGAGAAAAAAAATAACATGCAGCTCACATTTTACAATGATTAACTACTAAATCTAATTTACTATACATATTACAAAACAAAAAAAAAGAAAAGAAATCACCTGTACAATTTCTACTTTATATTACCTACTAGTTACTGTAATCTAAACGTTTCCCTCTTCCCTCTCTTTTTTTTACCATCAAAAAATCCTCCCCCATCACCTGATCTCCATATCCATTTTTTTCCTTTCTTTCTATTTTTTTTAATTTAAATTACTACGTTCAATTACTCATCGATAATTTCCTCAATGTCCTTTCATATTTTCTTACTTTTCATTATATAAAATCTATAAATATATATAAATAAAAAAATAAATATATAAATAAATTTTTGTAAAGTCAAAGAACAAGAAAAAAACAATCGTCGAATATGTAATAATATTAATAATTATAATAATGTCAGTGATGGGAGAAATATCGCTCGAATTGCTTTGATACTATGTTAATATCGGGTAATTCGTTAATACACGACTACTGCGTTAGAATATAAAGTTAGGAAGATTTCTTCTTGAACCGTAAGTTGCCAAAATAACGAATTCTAATTAAATTATAATTGATGTCATGAAAAAAAAACAGTGAGAATTAAAGTGAAGTGTCGCTAATAACGGCTTAGGAAAAAAAATAGAATTTTCTCACCAATTTTTACAATTTGCGCCAGTATGAATCTTCTCTTGCGCACGGATTTGCGGTTCTGAAAAATAAAAAAAAGTTTTTTTTAAAAAAAAAATAGATTTTTTTCAATTCTTGTGAAACAACAAACACTTTACATTCATATTGTCAATTAAATTTGATAAAAAACACTGAAGAAAAATTCTTTTGAATTTTTTCTAATAATCTTCAGATTAAATTGAATTTATTTCTCCTTATTTGGATAATTTGTATAAAAAAAATAATTAAATTAGCAGCTATTCTTTTTCTGTACTGATTTTTTTTTAATATTGTACTTACTAAATTATGGAGAATGTTTGTCATTATGGCAGTATTTTTGACAATAACTATAGGTCATTAATTGTTTTGCAACAAAGAATTGTGATTATTTAATTGTCTTAATTTTTTTTTTTATCAGATTAGTCTCAATTTTAAATTTGTAAAATATTGTGAAGTAGAGAGTTAAAAAAAAGGAACGTTATACATCACATTTTACCGTTCAGTGTTAGTAAATTTTTTTATTACGTACAAAATAATAAATTTAGTTTTTTTTAAATTTGCTGCAATAAAAACATAAACATAATTTTTGAATTACAATTTTGTATGAAGCATAATTGTCATTGTTTCTTAAATATCTCCTTTCATGATAAAGATTTTTTTTGGAACGCGTGAAATTAACTATTCTTTTCAGTATTTTTAAACTAATTATTATTAATTTCAATTAGTTATCAATTATTTTCAATGCTATTAAATTACAGAATATTTATTTATGTAAAATTTTTTAGTTTATCAACAAAAATGTATTAATTCAATTATTTAAACAAAGGTAGTTAAATTGCAAAAGGTAATTAAAATTTAATTTAAATAGTTTAATTATTTAAGATAATTAATTTAATAAACAATTTTAATTATTAACATTTTAATTAAACTTTTTGTATATTTAAAGAAGTGCCGCCTTTGGAGCAACCAATGAAATTGCTTGTTTTAATGTCTGCTATGTTGGTATACCTGTCCTTCTCACTATTGCAAATTGCGCCGTCGGACGGAAGTAGAAGAAAGAATCATTGTCAAAGTTTTTCGTTCATCATTATTTCAATTATATCCATACGTACTTATTGTTTTGTCAAGTAGAATAATATCTGAATAAGCGATAAATTATTGTTTTTTTGTCAATAGCAAAGAAAATTAGTAAATTCTGATAAAACTTTGACACCTTGAGAACAACCTCAATACTTTGACACCTCATTGTTTCAGTAAAGAAGAACAGGTATGCATAATTTTGCATTTAAAAACATATTTTTATTGTTTAAATTCAGTTTTCAATCAGTAAAAAGTAAAAATAATTACAAAAAATTAAAATATAGTAAAATCTCTATTGTAAAGTAAATTATTTTTCTTATGTTGGTAAAATAGTAGAAGTTCATTATTCGTTAATCTTGGGTTGGCATTCCTGACAATTCCTACATATTGCAAATGGCGTCGTCTGAGGTAGAAGAAAAACTCATTGTCAAAGTTAATCTTTTATTATTTCGATTATTTTAATTAATCCAAACGTAATTATTGTTTCCTCAAGTAAATTAAGGTCTAAATATATGAAATATTATAAAAGTTTTTTGGCAGTAGCAAAGAAAAGTAGTTTATTTAGATAAAACTTTGACGCCTTGAGAATAACCTCAATATTTTGACGCCACATTGTTTCAATAAAAAAGAACAGGTAAATAATTTTGCATTTATAAAAACATATTTTTTAAAACAACTTAATTGATATTGAGTTGTTTGCAATCAGTAAAAGGTGAAAAAAGAAAAAATATAGTAAAATCTCTATTGTATAAAAATTCCATTTTTTCCTATGTTGGTAAAATAGTAATAGCTCATTATTCGTTTATCTTGGGTTGGCATTCCTGACAATTCCTACATATTGCAAATGGCGTCGTCTGAGGTAGAAGAAAAACTCATTGTCAAAGTTAATCTTTTATTATTTCAATTATATTGTTTAATCCACATGTAATTATTGGTTTGTTAAGTAAAATAGGGTATAAATATTCGAAAAATTATAAAAGTTTTTTGGCAGTAGCAAAGAAAAATAGTTTATTTAGGTAAAACTTTGACGCTGAGAGAATAACCTCAACATTTTGACGTCAAAATGTTTCAACAAAGAAAAACAGGTAAAAAGTTTCAGATTTCCAAAAAATCGTAATACGATTGCTTAATCGTTAATAAAATAACAATATTGTTATAAAATATGTCCATAATAATGATTATTGAGGAAAAATAGTGAAATTGTCTAATATGCAATAATCGGTAATGTAGATTTTTTTCTGTCGGTAAAATAGTCTGAGTTATTTTCATTATCTTAGGTTGGCAGTTTTCCCAATTATTGCAAATGGCCACAAATGGCGTTGTTGAAAGTGGGCGAAAACCTTGTTGTCAATATTTTTCTTTTGTTATTTCAATTGTAGTGTTCGATCTAAACGTGAATATTAGTTTTTTAATTAAAATAAAGTCAAAATAATCGAGAAATGATGAAAGTTTTTATGCAGTGGCAAAAATAAGTAGGTTATTCGAATAAAACTTTGCCGTCGAGAGATTTACTTCAATATTTTGACATCATCCAAATATGTCAACAAAGAAATAGTCGCAAAAAATATCAGTTTTTGAGTTTTTAATTATCGACAAATTATAAAAAATAAGTCAAAACAAATTAATAATACTTGGTTGGCTTTCCTTAATTTTTTTTATTATTACAAATGTCCTCGAAAATAGAAGAAAAGGTTTGTTGTCAAAGTTTGTCTTTCATTTTTTCAATTGTTGTTTGTAATCGGTGTAATCTTTAATTATTTTCCATTTTTGCGCAATGAATTGTGAAAATAATCAAAAAATCATTAAAGTTTTGTGTGGTCCGTGGAAAAATATAAATTATTTTTGTTTTTTGGCAAAAATATTACCTAAACGTTTTTATTTATCGAAATTTGTTACAAGTATTTGTATAAAATGTGCCAGCTTAGGTTATTTTTTCTTTCACGAATAATTAATAATTAAAATATTCATTTTTTTAAAGCCTATGAAAAACTTACAATTTATTTTTTATTTCTCTAGTTTTTCTAATTAGTTTTTTTTATTTTCAGTATGTCAATTTGACATTATAAATAAGGACAAATCAAAAGATGTGGAGAAGAAAAGAGATCCCAGCACACTGCCGTATATTTTTTTCATTTTTTTTTTTGTAGTTTACGTAGTTTATTTTTTAAACTTTTTTTATTAGCTTATTTAGTCTATTTTTTAAACTTTTTTTTCAAATTTTAATTTCACGGTTCCGTGTAGCCCTTGACCTGGCGCAGAAGTGCGTTCAAAAAACAGGGATCTTCAAGGGTGATCCAGAAAGGGCGATGACGCACAATCCCATCGCCACAACGTGGGCTCATCATCCACCGAGGGAATCACACGTGGTTTATCACAAACTGTGATGCCACAAGATTGAGTCGATCAATTAGTCGACTCAATATTATTTTAAGCCTTCTCTGTTTGACTTTTTGATTAATTTTCTTTATTTAAAATCATTAAAGTAAATTATTTTTTAGAATTGAAAATCAATTTTTTATTTGTCGCTTTTAATATTTAATTAATTAATTTGAATTTAATATTTTAAAAATATGGATAAAATTTAAATTAATATTAAAGTGATTTATTTTTTAAAGTTGAATTTTTAACTAAATTAAATTAACTTGAATTAAACTAAAATTTAAAATTTTGTTAAAACAGGGAAGGCATTTAACAACATAGTGACGCCACTGACAAAAAATATTAATTTTGTACTATATTTTATCACTCTCTAAATCTGAATATGTGAAATTTCACTTATTGTGCGTTATAAGTCGTCTTCTCGATCAATAAGTGTATATGCACTTATTAAACGAGAAGACGACTTATAACGTACAAATATGTGAATTTTCACATATTCAGATTTAGAGAGCACTAAATTCCGAAACAGTAAACTAAATGTTACTAAATTTTTTCTATACATAAATTAATATTTTTGTCAGTGTTTTTTTTTCTTGCTTTGTTCATGTTTTGTCTTTATTTTTATACATTGGAATCTCGATCGTGTGACGTTTCAATTTTTAAAAAATTTTTTTTGTAGAAAAGGATGGCCCTCTTAATGCAAATGCAATTAAATTTTTGAATTTTATAATTTTTACTTACATAATTTGTTTATTTACAAAAAAGGGACAAGTTTAAAAAACACAATATTTTAATTGAAACAAATTTCGGCTTTTTTATTACTTTGATAGTTATCTGAAAGTAATAAATTTTATTTTATTATACAATTTTAAATTAATTTTATAGAGAAGTGAATAATTATTAATAAAAAAATAAAATTGTTATAGTAACGTTTTCATACGATCTTAATTGTTTTGCTTTTGGATCAGAAAACACCACTTTCAAAAAAAGTACACTGGATTGAGGTTCCAGTGTATTTATTTATGTAATTTGTGTTCTTTTTCTTGTATTTGTCTTTTATTTGTTTTTTTTTTTGTATTTATATTGCAGTTTTCTTGAGCTCAGGTGTCGGATGCGTCCCTAGTGTAGGTCTTTTGAACCTGGGCTCCATTTATCCAGCGTTTACGAATTTAAGCGTCAATTGAAACATTCATTTTCCTAATTAAAAATAGGTTTTCAATTAAATAGTCGATTTATAAAGAAAACAAAATCGGGCAGGTAGGCTAGCTTTTTTTACAGGTGGAAAAAAATCGGAAACATTTTCGGCTCATAATAATTTGAGTCACTTACTGGAGTTTACCAGTAGAAACTGATTCTTTCGGCTCATAATTTGAGTCAGTTACTGGAGTCTACCAGTGCCATTTATTTATTTACTATTTTACTATTTATTTCTGTGTCACTATGTTGTTTACAATGTTTCTTTATTATGATTTTGTGTATTTTGTTATGTATTTACTTGTTTTTTTTACAGTAAAAAGGAAATCTTATTCTAAGCAAAGAAAGGAGACTTATTTTAATTTCCAACATTTTCAAGACGCTATTTATTGATTTATTGAATAGATTTTTAATGCTGATTTTTAGCTCTCTAATGTGAACAAAATTTAAGAGAATTATCAATTATTTTTTTTTTAATTTTATTATTTAAGACAAATTTTTTTCGATTTCAAAAAATTTAGCCTTGCGAATCAAGATCAAAATAACTAATTCAAAAGATTAGCTTTGTGCTGAATTTGAGACAGTGCCTGTTAAATTAAGATCTAACTAAATCTAAATTTCATGTTCTTTGTAAAATGAAAGTAAACATGTTGCTTTCACGTAAGTTTAAGTTTAAATTAAGACTACATTTTCAAGACTCAATTAATTATAATTTCATGCTTATCTGAAAATAAGATTTCATTTTTACTGTGATGGACCCTTTACAGATTTTTTTACAAGTTTAGTTACTTTATCTTTTTAATATTTAGTTGTACATGAATTATATTTTTCGATTTTTGATATAATTTCAATAATTTCTATATTTTTGTTTCTGTATTTTTAATTTAATTTCTTGGTATTTTTTTTTATTTAATTTCTTTGGTACTGCCATTTGGGTTTATACCCTACCATCTATAAAATCTGCCTCACATATTTGTTATTCAATTCAATTGTTCACAATTTCTTGATTTTTATTTGCCTTTACATTCAACTGTTAAACCTTCGAAATCAAACGACTTTTCTTATTTATATAAATTAAATTCTTATTTATTGTAAAGAATTCTGTAAAGGGTACACAAATGCAGGGTGACCAGCGACCTTCAAAACCTTGAATCTTTTTGATTTTTTTTTCATTTTGAAATCTTGAAATCTCTTTCATTTTTGGAGCAAAACCTTGAATTGTTGAAATTTTCCAAACTGACAGTTACTAGTCGGTAATTTTACGAATCTTTTTTATTTCGTTTTAAATGATAAACATTTTTTCTTTCGATGTAATTATTGTAAAATAAGTGCAAAAAGTAGACTTTTGGGCTTTTTTTAGACTATTTTGGATTCTAGACTTTAAAACATTTTGAAAATTCCTTGTATTTTGTTTTCAAGAATCGCTGGACACCCTATATCCTTGTTTTTTTCAGAAATTGTTTTGTTGGCGATTCCACATGCTAAAGTTGTGTGGTTTCGCTTATTCCTAGTCTGGGTCTAATGTACCTGGACTCCTGGACGACGTTTTCCGACGTTTACGAATTTAAGCGTCAATTGGAACATTTAGTTTAATTAAAAATAGGTTTTGAATTATATAGTCGATTTGATAAAGGAAAAAAAATAATCGGGCAGGTAGGCTAGCTTTTTTTTATAGGCCGCTCGTGATTTTTAGAAATAGGTTTTCATTAATTAGACGCTTAGATAAACGTAACAAAATATATAAATGAAAATAATCGGGTAGGTAGAAATCGGGCAGGTAGGACTAGCAGGTAGGGAAAATCGGGAATACTTTCGGCTCATAATAAATTGAGTCACAGTTACTGGAATTTGCCAGTACCAATGGATCCCTTCGGCTCATAATTTGAGTCATAGTTACATATACTGGAAGTTGCCAGTACAAATGGATCCCATCGGCTCATAATTTGAGTCATAGTTACTGGAAATAACCAGTAGAAATGGATCCCATAGGCTCATAATTTGAGTCACAATTACTGGCTCCACAAGAAATGTTTACATTTTTAATGTAAATTTTAAACAACCCCTTTACTCATTAGATAATTTTTTCGGTCATTCATTAATTAACTCTGGTTAGAAGTAGTTTCTTATTCTCTTTTCGCGACTGACTACAATCGAAAAATAGCGTGTAGTTACGGTAGCTAGTACAATTACAATTATGAAATTAAAATCAACACTGTAAAAAGAAATTGCAAAATTAAAGCTGATTTCGGTATTAAAATAGAATCAAAGTTCAATCTAGTACCAAGATTAGTACTAAATTAGTACCTTTCTTTTTACAGTGAATCATTAGAATCAATTAAAATTAATCATTATAGAATCAATTAAATCTACATAAATTATAAATGACCTGAAAGTCGTTTATAATATTTTAGATTTACTATATATTATGTTTAAATTGAAAAAAATTTATTTGATTCAAATAAACGATTAATTGTCTATTTTCAAATATTAATATTTGTTTATTTTAACTAATTTTTATTTAAATCAATTAAATGGAATCTGCTTCAAGGACTCAGAAAAAACGAATTCTGAAATTGTATTTTGAAGTTTGAAACTCAATTTTTAAATTTAAAATCATACTTTCAAGATTAAATTAAAAAAGAAACCGTTTTAGTCAAAAGAGGGCTTATTTTTTACAGTATGAAATTTCTGGTTCAAATATATTTGATGGTATATATTATTTGATTTTAGTATAAATATTTATTTTTGATAATACACAATATTAATAATCGGTTATGTGAACCAAATAAATACAAAATTGATGGGTACACCTAGAGAAATGTTTTATTTAAACTAAATGTAATTTATTTGAGTCAATTAAAAGTATATGTTCGTCACAGAGCCTACTAAATTATTTATTTGTTTTAAACAATAATTTTATTTAGCAGAAATCAAATATAGTTGAATTAAATATATAATTCAGTAGGCTCTGAGTCAAATGTTTTTTCTCTGGGTGTATATAGATATAATTTTCCCTTTTATTATATAAAGAATTATTTTTTTTATTGATTGTATCAACAGCATCCACTCAGAAAAAAATTATGTTTGTATGGTTGTTTCAAACAAATTTTTTTCTGAGTGTTATAAAGTATTAATTATTAAAAAATATTGCAGTTTAGGTATTTTATCCGGAATCGGAGTGATTTATTCATAATTGCGTTCGTTTTAATCGCAATTGCTTTTTTTCTGTGAGTGTTATGTGTTTGATTTTAATAAATTGTCAAAATCATTTAAATGTAATTAATTTCGAGTAAGTATAATTTTCGCGTTTACTTATCCAATCATTTTTATGGATATTTTTATTCGTCGTATTTATACAAAATATTCTTTTCTAGAATTTTCGGAGAGCAAACTTTTTGGATAATAATCTGGGACTTTGATAGATGTTTGGAAAAACTTTTCTGAAAAAAAGGTGTGTATTTTGTTTAAAATCTTTAGGCTCTGAATTTCAAATTTTTAATATCGTATACATATATTGTAGCAGATAGTTCTGAATTTAAAGCTGATAAATTAAAATTTACTCTTTATTGTTTTATGAACTTCTCAGAAGTTAATATTATTGTTCTTTAGATCGTTGTAATAATTTTTATGATTCGTTAAGTCCTTTATTTGATTTATAGCATTGGCTGTCTTAAAAATTTTGCATCTTAATTTAAGATTGTTGCCTTAAAATAAGACGTTTTTCTTACTCCGATTTAACTAGTTTCGAACTAGTTTGAATGGGTTAAATTTTGGAGAGTTTTGAGAGAAAAACTTTTTTTGCCTGCATTGGGCAAATTTTTGAAGGTCGAGGTAGAATATCGGTAAAGAAAGTTTCTAATGGACAATGGTCGTGGGTGGTCCCTTAGCGGACGAAGTTGTGTGTGGTCCTCCGCTGGGGTCGGGTATGGTTATGCGGGATGTGGCTGCTTTCGAGTCTTGGAGGATGAACGACGCTTTGTCCAGACTAACCTGCGACGCTTGGTTTTGTCGAGTCGCAAAGTGAAATATTGTGCGCGATTTCTCATGAAATTTTATTTTTTCCTCTTCAATTAAGTGTCAAATTTAATCCAAGTATTAACTTTCGGATTTTATTTTCAACAATGCAACTACGCATGCACTTGTTTGAAACCCGTTGTTTCACAGTAACCACGTGTTGTTTTATTTTCAAATTCCAAAGGCTTGAGACAAAAACACATTTGCGATGAGATTGATTACTTTTTAAATCTCTTCATTTGGTTTTTTTTTGTTTAAAATTGGATTTGTTTTAGGTGAAAATGGTCGTAAGTATTTATAGAAATTTAAAATTATACTATTTTTATTCTGTTTTTATTTTTTATTCAGATTTTTTTTTCTACAGACGAAGTGTTATTTTTAATTCTTCTTTTCTTTGATATAGCAAAGTAGTCATTTTTTTTATCAAGCATTTAATAATTTGATTTTTATAATAACATTTAATTATTTTAAATATGTAATGGAAGTGTTAATAATTAAATGCCTAAGGAGAATAGAAGTATTTTTTTGAATTACTTTAAAATTGATTTTTCTTTTTTTTTCAGATGATGTATTTAATGTACTTATTTTTTATTTTACTCGGAGTTGGTTGCAATTTTGCTCAAAGATATGAAATGTCGGAAAGTGAATCTTGGAAGGAATTGGAAAAAATGAGTCGAGACAGGGACGAGAGATACAGACATGAATTAATGGAATCTGATTATCCTCACATTGGGGAACATTCAAAGTGCATTAGAAAATCAAAATGCATTTACACATCGGGAAATTATCTTTCTTGTATGGGAACAATTCTTCCATACGCCGGAACATCTTTTGATCTTATTCCTCAATATTCATCGATCGAAATGATCAAGGTGCGTAAAAGGGGCAAAAAAAAAAAAAACATTGCAGGGAAACCTTATTTTAATGCAAGAGATCAAGTTTCGGTATTAATTTCTCGATGCTTGTATTGCTTCTTAAATATGTTTTCCTTTTAAATGTTCTGTTTAATTTTTTACTCTTTTAGAAAAATTAATTTAGTGTATTAATTATTGTTAGTTTTGAAAATCAAACATTGTTGTTTTGTACCTACTTTTGTTTTAGTACATTTTTTAAATTTATTCTTGTATTAAAGTAAGGTTTTCCTGGAATTTTAATAAATAACAATTACTTGTTTTCTTAATGTAAATATAAATTTATACTCTGGATAAATTTAATATTTCTTCCTCATAGTACAGTTTTCTTTAAAGTATTTAAATTGATATCAAATTGATACCAAATTAATACCGAAATTTGGGTTAATTTATGATTTAATCCATATTTTTGGTGTCAATTCGTGGCACTTTGACAATTTTAAGTTAAAACAGTGAGAGGAAGGATTGTATTTACTTTGAATGACAAACGAATTTTTCAATTTTAGGAGAAATTGTCAGAACTTCAGGCACTGAGGCATATTCCAAAGTGTTGGGCTTTTGCGCAATTGTTAATTTGCTCACTTTTTATGCCAAATTGCTACAATGACAATGTCTATTTACCAACGCAAGAGACTTGTAGAATGGCAATGGGTCCTTGTCGTGCAGTTTTGAATAATACAATTTGGCCAAGTATTATAAGATGCGACGATACGACACTATTTCCAACTGGTTGCAGCAATTTTCACGAACCAAGAGATATTAAATTTAATAATACTGGCAAATGTTTGGAACCCCTGATACCAACTGACAATCAACTTGCATTATTCGATGATATCGATGGCTGTGGTATGCCTTGCAATAATCCACTATACTCGAGCGATGAGCATAAACAAATTCATTCTTTTATTGCCTGGGGAGGTGGAATCTGTTTGGCATTCAATTTCTTTGCAGTGGTAAATTTTTCGAAAATTGTTCTCTTTTTGTTGAAGGAGAAAATCTCTTTTCCCTCTGGACCTTGAACCATGTTCTTAAAGAAAAGTTAAAGACTTTCTTGAGGCATTTTTAGAAAGTTTCATGTCCGACAAATGTTCTAGAACATTATTTAAACATCCGTGTTCTTAAAATGTTTTGGAACATTATTTGGCGGACATGAACTTTTAAGAAAGTGATTTTTTTGTCCAGAGGATTGTTAAAAGAGAAAAACTCTTCTTCTGTTAATTTTTGGAAATAGTTACTAATTGTACAGAAAAGTAAAAATAGTTTAGTAAAAAAAAATTAAATATTACTGATAGTAATATTGGTTGTAGAATTGTAATATGTTTGTATTTTTTTTTCTAGTTGACATTTATGGTGGATTGGAGGAGTGGAAACAAATATCCGGCACTTGTGATATTTTATATAAATTGTTGTTTTATGGTGTCGTGTATTGGATGGTTGATTCAATTTAGTCCAGGAAATCGAGAAGTTATTATTTGTAGGAAGGATGGAACTTTGAGAATGGGTGAACCAAGGTATCGTTGAAAAAAAAAGAGAATTGAAATAGAAGCAGTGTCTTTTATTTTTTTTATTGCACATTGTTTCCACATTGGTTAATTTACATTTTTATTAGGTACTTTTGATAATGTGTAATTGTCTTCCAAGGATAAGAGACTAGACATTGCTTGCTTATTCATTTCATGTTCATCACGAGTATTTCTCACCTTTTGATTTTTAATATTAATAATTTATTCTCACTTTTCGTGACCAGGAAACTCAAATATTCTTCTAGCTTTTGTTTACCTCAGTTTAATTTTAAATTCTTTGAAAATTTAAAGATTTTTGTAATGCTTTTCTATGACAAAAGAAAAATTAGAGATTTTTTGAAATGGTTTATTTTTTATTATAATTTTAAAGTACTTGGAAAGTTTAGAAAGAAATTTTGAATTAAAAATGTTTTTGCTGTTTTGTTTTCAGCGGAGGAAATCTGTCGTGTGTGGTTGTGTTTGTCATGATTTATTACTCATTAGTGGCATCAATGGTTTGGTTCGTTATTTTGACATACGCTTGGCATATGAGCTTTCAAGCACTGGGAAAAATACAGGATAAAATTGACAAAAAGGGCGCATATTTTCATCTTATGGCTTGGTGCATACCACTTATGCTAACAGTCACTATTATGGCATTGGGCGAAATCGATGGCAATAGTGTAACTGGAATTTGCTTTGTTGGATATTTTAATCACGTAGTGAGATTTTGCTTTTTATTGGGGCCCTTGATATGCGTTTTATTAATTGGCGGATATTTTTTGACCCGAGGTATGCAATTTTTATGTTATTTTTATTTTTATATTGTCGAGAAAAATATTCTCGAGTTAAAAAAATAGTGAATAGTAATAATTGCATAGTATTATAAGTGTTTATTTAATTTAATAGTAAAATTTACATTATGATTTACAATTTTTATCCTTAATTTTCATTTTCTTTCTTTTTAGGATTAATAACTTTAATTCAGTTGAAGATTGGCAGTCAGGATATTATATCGGAGCATGCAAGTTCAAAAATTAGGGAAACTATCGTGAGAATGGGATTATTTTCTGTTTTTACATTCACGGCAATATTTGTAACGACTTATTGTCATATTTATGAATTCTATCACTCTGACGAATGGAATCAGAGTTTCAAAAAACACATGATGTGAGAAATGATTGTTTTATGTTTAACTAATTTATTTGTACTTTGCTGTTTTATTTTTTTCATCTACTTGGAATGTTAAATTAAATATTATTTTATTATTATTATTGAATGTTGTTTATATTTTTAGGTGTCGAATAACAACGAAATACTCTGATGTCTCGGACTGCAGAATGGAGTCACGTCCGAGTCTCGCAAAATTGCAGCTTCATTTGTTGAGTCATTTTTTCGCCGGCATTTTAATGTCGTCCTGGGTCTGGACTGGATCTACAGTTGATATTTGGATTCGTTTTTTTCGGAGGCAAATATTTAATTCTAAATGATTGATAAATTATTAAGTCCTTAAGTGGCGATGACAAAGATTTTAATTCTTTGCCATAGTTTTATGCTTCTTCACAAAAGCTTTTTATTTTGTTAATTTTGACTTTATTAAAGTTTAAAGACTATTAGACTTTATTAAAGTTAGATTTATGGACGAAGAGTAATTGAGAAAAATGTTGCAGGGTTTTCAATCGCGAGAAAGAAGAACCGATAAAGCTAAAGAAGCACAAAGTCATTGCTCAAGCGTTTGCTAAACGAAAAACATTCAACAATGATGGACGTCTATCGATTAGTTTTTGTAATTCCCATGTGGATCCAGTGGGTTTGAATTTTGATTTGACATCAGTCGCATCACAACCATTGAGTTCAACATGGGCAGCAGCCTTACCAAAGTTAGTGACACGTCGTGGAGCTGTTGAGAAATTATTCTCATCTGGTTCCGTATCGAGCAATCGAAGAAATTCCGTTGACTCAGAAATTGTGAGTATACAACGTCGTGTTTCCGTGGAATCGCGACGTAATTCCGTCGATTCACAATATTCGGTGAAAGTTGAGGAGAAAAAGACAACAATGAAAGTTGCAAGTTCAAGAAATCGTCGCGATAAAAGACGACGTAATTTTGGTAAATCAAGATCGCACAAAGATGGACCATTATTTCGTCGTGGCAGTACAACATCACAAGAAAGTCAATTGGGAGCACAAATATTAAATGCCCTCACCAATGGATGTGGACAAAATGTTCCTGCAATTCAAATGCCAAATATGAATCGACGTTCAGCATTCACTGGACACGATATTCCAATGATTATGGATGCAAAAAGTGCTGGTAAATTGTTTCCATTTTTATTATCGGATAGTAGTGGAAGTGATGAGAATTTGAGTAGTGAGGAGAAGAATGAAAGTTCACAAGCAACGAGGGAAATGAAGAGTAATGAAATTGAAGTTGATAATGCACCGAAGGAAGAGGAGCAAGAGGAAAGTGAAACTGATGCCGATGAGGAGACGAAAATGTTGAATAATCCAGACGAAACTCAAGAACGAAGTAAAAGTAAAAGTAGTAATAAAAGTTTTAATCATGAAAATGGAAGACGTAGTATGGAAAGTCGAAGAAGTAATAAATATATTATTCAAGATGAGACGACATTAAAACATTTTCTTCAAGATTCAAGTGATATTAAAATTCAAACAGAGACTGAAATTAAGGATAATAGAAAAGTTGGTGGTATTGGTGATTTAGCATCAAATTTAGCTCCATTTTGTCAAGAAATGGGACGTAATCAAAATGAAGCATTGATGAACGCGAGGGAAATCGCAACACAAACTTCCGTTCCTCTCGATATTCTCGAAATGGAAGAATTGAAACAAAGTATAGATAAAATTATCAACAATCGAAAAAAGACTTAATTTTTCCCCTTTTTAGAAAAAAGACAATTTTTCTTTTTGAATGAAAAGGGAGTTTTTAATACTCGAAATTATTACTCGATTACGTAAATTAAATTACGTATTACGCTAGTGACAACAGGTATTAGAAAAAACGAGATTTATTCTTCTTTTTTTTTTAATAGAAAATTTTTTAACTTTTTATACAAAAAGAACTCTAATTTTTATAGAGAGACTTTTTTACAATTTTTTTTGTGTGTAAGATTTGTATATAAAAAACTTATAAAAATTGAATATTGAATAAATTGTGTGTTTATAGAAAGATTGTTATTAATATTATTATCTTTTAATAATTAAATAATAGAGATCGACTGTGAGATCATTTTACATAAAAAACCAATTTCTAAATTGATTTAGTTTAAAAATTATTTTAGTTACAAATGAGTAATTACATGAAACATTGATTTTTGTTTACAATTTTAACTCATGAAAATTTATCACCTTTGACTGAATTTGAGTAGAAATATTGAAAATTAATTTTTTAATATTAAGAAAATAATTTACAATATTTTTGACTTGATTATTTTTGTAAAATTATAAAATTTTGAAATCGTAAAGTAATATGTGATTATTATTATATAAATCTAAGTATAAAATCTAATTTTACATAAGTTAGAAATTTATTTTTACATATGTTAAAAATGTACCTATTTTAAAATCAGTTCAAAATTTATGTCTTACGCAAAATAAGAAAATCTTACGTTAAAAATATATTCTTACGTAATTAGTTGATGAAAATTAAAAAGTTTTTCAATTATGATTAAAATTGATAATTAAAATTGAAAATTAAAAAAATTTAAAATTAAAAATTTTCGTGAATTGAACTAAATTATTGTTTTAAATTTAAAAAATATTTACCGAAGAAAATTGTTGATTTTAATCAGTAAAAAAAATTTTTAAGCTACTTGATAAAATTTACAGAATTTACCCTGTGCGATTTAATACTGTAGATAAAAAATTGTTTTTTTTTAATTCTATCAACTCTGAGATGAGTTTTGTTAGGTTCTTGAATTATTCTTCTGATTATTACTCATAATTTATTTTATGCAAGCAGCGACTTGAATCCTGTTTCTTTTTTCGATCTTGTTTTGTCTTTTGATTGAAAAATCAAATTTTTTTTAATTGGATGAAGATTACTTATTATCTTCATTTTGATTTTTTCTTCTTACCGACTTTAGTCAAAGTCTTTCGAGTATTTCCTGGAATGAAAGAAAAAAAATTGTATAGTTGTTAATTTAGAAAAAATGCAAAATTCTATAAATAAAGATTTGATAAATTAAATTTTAAAAAAGAAAATCAATTTCCAATATAGGAATTTTAAATTGAAATTAAAATAATCAAATTATAATTGGAAATTGAAAATTTTTTATTTAGAAATTGTAAATCTAATTTGGCAATTAAAATTCAATTATTGCAATTATTGTAAATTATTTTTGTTTGCAATAAAAATACAAATTTTATACTTGTAACAAAAATAAAAATGATTATAAATTGCAAATTTAACTTCAAATTAAATATTAAAATTTAAATCCAATTTGTGAATTGAAGTTTAATTTAATAATTTAATATAAAAATTGAAAATCTATTTGCAATTAAAATAAAATTCTATCTGGAATTAAAAAATTAATTATATTTATAACAAAAATTCGATTTCTATTTGTAATAAAAATTTAATTTCAAGTAAACATTTAAATCCAAAATTGGGAATTGAAATTTAGTTACAAATTAAATTTAATAATTTTAAATAAAAATTGACGTTCTGTTTGTAATAAAAATTTTATTTTAAATTTTAATTCAAATCGAATTGAAAATTGAAATAATTTGGAATTAAAATTAATAAAAACTTAAAAATATAAATAATTAGAAATTAAAAATTTAACGCAAAATAAAATTCAATTCAAAAATTTGTGAATTGAAATTTGATTTGATTTAAACTTAAATTTAATATACTTTGGTAAAAAAATTGAAATTATATTTTCAATTAAAGTAAAATTCTATCTGGAATAAAAAATAAATTATATTTATAACTAACATTGAATTTCTATTTGTAATAAAAATTTAATTTCAAATTACCCTTCAAATCCAAAATTGTGAATTTAAATTGGATTTAGAATACAATTTAAAATAAAAATTTAATTTCAATTGGAAATTAAAATGTAAATAAAGAATTGAAATTAAAAAAATTTTGAGGAACTAGAAATTTTGAAAATAGCCAACACCAAAAAGACGACTAATTTACATCAGGCAAATTTGTATAAAACTAGTAAAAAAGGCCATCAAACTACGTAGATTCTGTTTTTATTTCTATAAAATAAAATCATACATTACAAAATTTTACTCTCGTGTAAAATACCATTTTATTTGTTTACTATAAAATAAAAATTGAAACAACAAGTGCAGGCATATCAAATTCCTTAATAGTCATTTAAAAATATACTATTGACAATAAATAACAACAGAATATAAACGCAAATTAACAAAGTTTATTGTCTAAATGTAAATTATATTTATATATACACATTCACAATGCACATTTATTTTCAAGAATTTGTACAAAGATAGATAAGCTTAATATCTAGCACAGCATTCAGGAATTAGAAAAAAGGCAGTAAAATACATCAGTTTACTGAGGTAATTCAATTAAAAAAACATAATAAAAACAAAATTGATCTACAAAGACATTAAAAAGGCAGTGAAGAGATTTTTCTTTTTCTAAAAAAAAGTAGTTTTTAAAAAATATATTCTTCGATTGTCTTTTCTCTGGATAAATTAAAAAATTCCTTTAGTGTATATTATTATTATTATTATCATAGATTTGTTTTTTCTTTAAAATTATTTTGGTCGATTCAAATTGTTCTGGTATTCTCCTTTGTAAAATGAATCGTACTTCTTTGGGATTATTTTTTGTGGACGACGAAGATATTTTATTTTTTCGAGTATCGATGTGTAGTCCTCCTGGTTTTTTTTGCTTGCATCTACATTTTCGAAACTGGTATCTCTGTTTGAGTGTATTTTTTACCTACACCCAGTATAAATACCGATGCTTTAGTTTTATTGGAGAAATTTGAGTAGAAAAGCTTTCCGATATCGGATTTTTCTTATTGTCCATGTAGCATGCAGTTTTTTTTTAAATTTTAATCTTGTTTATTATTTTTGGTTTAGTTTTTAATGAATAATGTTAGATCATTATTTTTTTTTTTGAATGGAGGGGAAAAATTTGATTAGAAGAATATAATTTTTTAGCTCTTTTATTTGGGTTAAAGAGCGAAATTCTTTGATTTAAAAAAATTTCTTTTTGGTTCAAAGAACTGGTTCTTTGAATTAAAGAAAATATCTTTAAATTAAAGAACAGTTTAATAAAGAACGTTTATTAACGAAATTAAAGAGCGTTTCTATAATTCAGAGAAATTTTTAAAAAATATTAAATTAAATTAATTAAAAAAATTTGAAATTAAAATAATAAATAAATTAAAACAATGAAATTAGGTTTTTTTCATTTTCCACTAATTATTGAACTAATTAAAAAATAATTCTAAATTCTAAAAAATTCGAATTTTTTAGGACAAATTTTACAAGGAGAATAAGAATAATTAAAACAATAATATTGCATTAGAAATTGTAAAAAATCAGAACTTTTTACTTATTAAAATAAAAAAAATGAGTTTGATGATAATTAAAAAGTGCAATAATTAAAAATGTTTGCACTAATTTCTCTAATTTATAGACCTTTTCCTTAATTTTTTTAAAAATGTTTCTACAGATATATTTAAAATTTTGATTGTGCGCATATTTACAAGAAAAGATTTTGTTTCTCAATGAAAATTAGAACTAAAATAAATAATCGTTTCATGCATTCGCTTTTCTAATTTTTTTACATGCAAACCAGGCGGAATACGTACAATATTAAAAGAAAATCTTATTTTTATTTGTACCATTTTTTGAAAAAAAAGGAAATTTTTGTCCAAAAGCAGTTTTTTATAGACTTAAAAAATTTATTTGATTAAAATAACTGATTACTTGTTTAGTATCAAATAAATATTTACTTGAATCAAATACACTAAGGGAAAATATATTTTTTATCCGTTTTTATAATTAAAAATTATAAATTTGTTTGTTAAAATTTTTATTTTTTATTTTAAGTAAAAATGAATTTTGAAAAGTAAGATTTTCGTTTTAATGGGTACACTGAAAAACAAATTTATTTGATTCAAATAACCGATTACTTGACTATTATCAATTAAATATTTAATTGAATCGAATAATATTTATTGGAGTCAATTAAATGGTTCAGTTCATATTTGCTTCAAATACTGAAATTATTGGTTCAAATACCATTTAATTGACTCCAATAAATATTATTTAAATCAAGTAAATATTTAATTGATTCCAATAAATATTATTTGAAACAGGTAAATATTTAATTGACTCGAATAAATATTATTTGAATCAAGTAAATATTTAATTGACTCCAATAAATATTATTTGAATCAAGTAAATTTGTTTTCCAGTGTACGATATCGAAGGCTAGGTTTTTTTTTTTGAAAAGAAAGCAGGTATAGAGTAAGCTTTTTTTTGGATCAGAAAAAATAGTATTCACCACCACCGTAGAGAGTAGAACGCGTGTAGACGTCACCAGGAGGTGACAATTGGCGAGGCTACTTGGCTTTCATATGAGATTTTTGATGTTTGAATTGATCGTTACCCCAGATCAGATGATTGAATGTTTCTCCAGTGAAGTAGAGTATTACTGTAAATAGCAGTAATACGACAATGAAGGCTATCCTTAAGGGCACTGTCAATACTTCCATCACAGGGTAGACCCAAATTCCACTCTTCATGTAAATCACATGCATCCTGTAAATTTTTGTTCTTGTTAGAATTCTTCCAAAAAAAAATTTTTCAATTTTTAGCTTTTCACGGTTTTTACCTTTTTTACTTTTTTCATAAATCGATTCAAACTCTGATTCAAAAGAATTCATTAGTTTAAAATGAAATTTTCTTTTCAAACTTCATTCATGAGTTTAAATTATCATTTAAGGATCATAGAATATTATAAATTTTCCCTTTTCTATTTTTGTACGTGAATTCTAATTTTAATTACTAAATTTTGACTCATTTTAATTTTAATCAAACGCAAATTGAAATTTCAATGAAATCATCGAAATTATATGTAAAGAAATAAATAAAATAAATAAAATGAATAAATTAAAATTTCAATGTTTTCGTATAATAAATGAAGATAGTTTTATTTCATTTTTAATTTGGGAAAATCCTTGAAATCAAAAATAGACGTGACGCTATTAAATGAGAGAAAAATTGTTTTTTTTTCAACTTACCAAACTAAATAAGTTAACATAAATGAAAGAAGTCCTCCGAGACCTTGTGTTCGTTTAGGATATTGACGTGGTGCTATGAACATTTCTGTAACTGTCGTTACAACAATTAATGTGTGCATTAAATGATTCAGCCATGATGGAAAATAGGGATCCAATGCTTTTGGCAATACTAGTTCACGATCGACGAACATTAGAGACCAAAATGTCACACCTACAAACTGAATTTGAATTTAATTGAGATTTTATTTTATATATATATTATTTAATATTAATTTATATAAATAAATATTAAATTAATTTTAAAAAATAAATAATTTAAGAATAAATAAAAAATTAAAATTAAATTCAAGTAATTTTTAAAATTTAATCTCGTCTAATACTTTTTGCTTAACGTTTGCTCTTTGAATTGAAATTATTCAGTTTGAAATTGAAAAAAGTTTCTAAATAAAATTGTTTAATTTTCTTAAATTATTCTTTTCTGAATGTTATTTCAATTTTATTGTTAAAATTTTAAATATAAAAGATTTTTAATAGTAAAAGATACGTACCATACCAACGGGAAAACTTAACGCAGCATGAAAGAAGTCTTTGAATCGTCTAATAAATGGAGTTTTTTTTGGACTACTTTTATTCGTTCCATACACGTCATTTAACATACAGATGAAGAAAAATATGGCCTGTAGAATCTGTATAAAAAATAAGAGCAAAATTAGTTAATTAAATAATAAGAAAAAAATAATATTAAATGGAAATATAATTAATTAATTTGGCAAAATTGCGTTAAGAGTAATTAAAATACTAAAAGTAAAAGATTTCTGTTTGAAGAACATTAATTAAATTATAAGATAAATAATAGCAGAATATATTAATTAAATTATTGTTATTATTTAAATTATTTAAATTATGGGATTTAATATTTATTTCATTTTATTTATCTGATATTATTTCTATTGATTGTTTATTTGATAAATTTAATAAAATTGTACTAAGAGAAAAATTGAATCAAAAAGTGTGTCAGCTTTGATCTATTCTTGCATTTTCATCAAAAGATAAGAATTCCAGATGACTTTTAGTAATTCATTGTCTCGTGAGTTTGGATAAATATTATGAGGAAATCGCAAATTATAAGAGGTACATTGCGCCGTTTCATTATAGCTTGTAGAGTATTAAAGTTCTCAACATATAAATTGCCACTCTTTCTAAATAAATAAATAATGTAATAATGTAAATTAAATATTTTTTCATTTAAATTACACTGTGTTTGAAATGATGCAAATTATAAATATTACACTGTTTGACTCGGTTTCAAAAATGTTTTATTAGTTTTATGAAATGCAACTATAATTTATTTTCGCAGTTAACAAATAAAAATCACCTATTGCTTAATATTATAAAATATTATCCTTTTTAGAAATTATTAACCAATTAAAAAACGTATTAAATGATTTGCTAATTGTATAAGTAAATAGTTTTTTTTGCTTTAGTTTTTTAAATTTTTTGTACATGGGAATATGAAAAATCTTTTAGGATAAAATTAATTAATGTATTATTTTGATTAATTTTTTCCCATGATCATAGTAATATCTTATATATATAGGCTTATTTTACTATAGTCAGATTTCAAAGGTCTCCCATAGCAGTTTTCACTGTTACATAAATAGACAGTATCACATGTATGCAATGAGAAAAAGTAAACTACCATGCACTTAAGAATTAGTAATTGCAAAGAAAACCGGAATGTCAACATTTATTTTTTTTTAAATATGAATTTATTTTTTGTAATATATCATCTGCTTTTTTTTTAAAAGAATATTTTTATAGGTTTGATAGTTTGAAAATTATTTATTTTAGAGTTAGGAAATCTGATTTTATTGCATTGAGTAATTGTTGCAGACAAAATAACTGACTCATAATTATGTTGTTTCAAATAATAATGTTGAATTGGCTTTAAAAATTATAAAAATAGAATTTCTGTATTAGGTACATGAATCTTGATTGATTTTTTATTGTCGAACTTGGTTCTGAATTTAAAAAATTGTAAATAAATTTAACTTTGAATTTGCAATTTAAATTTAACTTGAAAAATAAAAAAATTCGTAATGACTTGTGTAAATAAATAATTAAGATAAATAGAATAATTAGGTTCATTTAAAATAGTAGTAGTAACAATTTTTCTTATCAGTAGAGTTGCAGTTGAGAACTATGAATGGGAGGAAAAATAGAAATAATTTAATATTTGAAGGGCATAGGAGGAAGGAGTAATTTTTTTTAATAATTATAAATACTAACCGCATCCCAAAATGTGAGGAATTTAAATTTTCCACCATAAGCACCATGTGTTCTACCAGCTTCCTTTGGTATCACGACATGAGCATAATCATAATAAACTCCAAATGCAAAAAGTGCACATGCACTTGCATGAAAAATAATGAAGAAGGTATCCTTCATTTTTGACACTGTTTTTGTTTTACATAAATTATTAGAATTCTATAATTCACTTTTGAGTGTGTAGAATAAATAAGCTAACTTTTTTTTGGTATGTGTGCAATCAACACAATTATCACATTCACCTGTTAATTATAGGGATCATATATTTATACATGTGCATTTAAAAAGAAAAATTTATTTTGTATAGTAAAATTTTTCTTTTTTTAAATGACTAGAATGTAAAAATATAATAGACGTAGACGAAAAATAAAAATAAAAAAATATTGCTGACTAGAGAAACAGTTTTTGTTGAATTTTTTTTATATGTGTATTGATTGCATCAAAATTTATTCATATTTTTATGTGTCATCCTTGGAATTTATTATTCTTTTTTGCTTAAATAATAAATTGGAAATTTTTTTTTATTAATGAATCTATTATTTTTTTTTATTAACGAATCTACTAATAAACTATATATAATATATTATATTCACTTTATATTAAATTTGTATATATTATATATATATATATATATATATATATATATATTTATTTATATATATTTATATTATATTATATAATATTGTATACAATGAAAGAAAAATTTATTTGATTAAAATAACCGATTACTTCTCTATTATTAAATAAATATTTACTTGAATCAAATAATTTTTAATTAAATCATTTAAATTGATTTTGATAATCAATAATTTCAGTATTTGAAGCAAATAATATTTAATTGACTTAAAAAAATATTATTTGATTGAAGTAAGAAATTATTTGATAATATACAAGTAATCTGTTATTTAAAACAAATTTTTTTTAAAGTATAACAACATATATATTATCAATTGTGTAATCATTAATAATTTTGGATAAAGATCGTTAGAAAATTTCAAATCCAAATTGATTAAAATTTTAAAGCAACTAATTTGCTAGCAAAATGTAAAATAGTAATATTTTTATACTAATTTTTCTCTTAAATATTTATTTATATTTACTAAAATTTTTTTACATTTAGGTAGTAAAATATTTATTTTCTATTTACTAAAAATTTTTTACATTTACTAAAAAATATTTTATATTTATTAAAATATTTACTTTATATTTACTGAAACATTTAATAATATTTAGTATAAATATTAATAATAATTTAGTAATAATTAGTAAATTGTTTAATAGTATATTATAATAAAAATTTGTGCACTAAACTGTCAGTTAAGATTTTAATAGCAGGTATTTGTGATTATTAATTTGGATTTACGGGTTTATAGAATGGTTCTATACAAAAGGATTTAAATAAATGACTTTTTAAGTGGAAATAAATCTATTTGAAATGGCATTTTAAATGCATTTTGAAAACCATTTTACTAGTGTTAATTATACTTAAGCAAATTATGTGCAATTATTATCACTATTTTCAATGACTACCATTTGAAAATTTCATTAAATCTTTTAAAAAAATATATGCGCATCTATTAACACTTTTCAATGAATGATATTAAAAAAAAACTATAATGAAAATTTTGTCTGTATTTACACAGTATAATATGAGTGTCCTGGAGAATATATTATATAACAGAAATCTTTCAGTTTCTTGACCTTTCGCTAATATTGAGAGGATCCTTTCGATATTGTTGGTTCATTGAGTTCATTTTTGATCTTGAGATCTGAAGTTTTTGCCTCTTTTATTACTTTTTGCAATTCTTTTTTTTTTACTTTTTTTCACTTCATGCCTTTTTTTTACTGTTTGACTCTTTTTTTACTGTTTTTACTGTTTGACTCTTTTTTTAAAACTTTTTTTACTGTTTGCCTCTTTTACACTTTGCCACCAATTTTCTTACTTTTTGCTCCTTTTTTTGTGGCTACTAAATTGCAATCCATTTGAAACTTCTTCTCTCGCCTTATGAGAAAGATTTCTTTCGTAAGATTTGTAATAAACTTATCATAAAACAATCACGAAAGTTATTGGCTAATGTTTACCGCGCACACGTTTTAAGATTGTATTACTACACGTTTACATTGTAAACATATATAATGAAATTTCACAGCAATTTTAGAGGAATTTTTATTTGTGAAAATATTTGACTAATTGTTTCTATATTTACACGGTTCTAATTCAGTATACAATGCAATTTTTAAATTGCAAATTTTTCAGAAAAAAAAGTGAATTGTTTATTATGTGGCAATAATGAATTAGATTTTTTATTTTTCAATTATTATTTATTCTACTCTTTAAATCTGAATTACTTATTTTTAGTAGAATTTAATTATTTTATTCTGTAAGTCCGAATTAGTGAAAAGTCGACCACTTATTTCAAAATTTCTAATAATTCTTACTAATTTTTCACTGAAACTTTATATTAAAAAATTTTAAACTACTAACCGAAATATTAAAATATTAATAAGAATTAGTGAAAATTTTCGATAATTAAAAATTAGAGAGTAGTTAAAAATTTGTCTATTAATTAATAGAAATTAAAAAAAAATTTTTTAATTTTTATAGTAAAAAGTAGAAATTACTATATTTATTTAAATTAGTAGTAAATTTTAGTAATTCAATAGATTGTTCGCTAATAATACTAATAATTTTAATAATTTTGCTAATAAAATAAATGATTTTTGCTAATTTGAATTAATTGACGACTCTTTACTAATTTTTAGCTTTAGAAAGTAGATTAAAAAGAAAATTATTCTTGTTAAAAATTCTTTAATAAAAGATAAAAATTTTTGCATAAAGAAATATTTTTTCTTTGATAAAAGTTTTATTGGAGAAAAGATGAGTTTGAAGTAAAAATTTCTCAGCTTATATTTTTATTACTTTTTGTTATTCCCTTCTTTTTTATTGTATTTTGTGCTGTCTTATTCGATGAAGTTCCTTCCCCTTTTGCAAACTGGTTTTGATTCCCTCGATTTTTTTACTTTTTTCTATTTCTTATTCCCTTGTTTCTCTATACTGTCCGATCTCTGTAGTCTTTTGGAAAGTAATTTTTTGCCAATTTTTTTTAATAATTCAGTTTTATTAATTATAATAGGATTTAAATAAGTTTACAATAAATAAATATTAAAAATTATTTAATTCGTTAATTGTTATTATTATTATTGTATTATTTAATTTATTTATTTGTTATTATATTTTATTATTTAATTAATTTATTTTTTGATTAATAATAAGTACTAATTAATAGTATTAACAAATATTACCTAAAATTTAATAACAATTCAGATAGTCTATAAATTTTTTATAAGTCTATTAATT